TCCTCCTCATTGTATTCCCCCCATCACCACTCTTCTCTTCTCTCTTCATCCTTCCACATGCTCCCTCCCTCCCTCCCTCCCTCCTTCCCTCCCTCCCTCCCATTAACCTTCCAGCAAACCCTCACCTGCCATGCCATCGCTAGAATTGGAGTCCGCAAAAACCGGCTGAACACTTCCTGCTGAGGGGGGGTGGACCCAGACTGTGGGGTGGACCTGGGGTGGACAGGGGGGTGGACCCCAGGGGTGGACTGACCGAGGGTCACGGGTGGCAGTGGAGGGGGGGCGGGCTGGCCCGGGGGCGGGCCCAGCCCCAAGCGGCCCTCCAGCAACGAAAGGAAGGGACGGCAGCCCATACTGAGTCCGGGGGCCCGGGGGCCGGGGCCGGGGGGGGCTGGCAACTGGAGGGGGCGGCCCTGCCATGTTACGTAATATCATAGTCTCACTGAGTCAGCGATGAGGCCAGTGCCGAACTTTCCGAAGTTCAACTTGCATTAAGGTCCTGCCCGGTCACCGCCAGTGCCGCCGCCGCCGCCGCCTGCGGCCCGGTACCGTACGTCCGATCGTCACGACTCGTGATTCCGGCTTTCGAAGTTAAGTGCCACTCAGTGACTGGAGGTATCGGTGGCAATTCAAGAATCCGATCGGACCGTTCTGACAGTTTTCTTGCCAGGCTAGATCATCCTCTTGCCAGATCATCCGCCCGGCACTGATGTGAGGCTTGGGGCCGCCGCCAGTGCCAGGCAACGGCTGAGTGCGCACTGTGCCGTGCCCGGGCCAGCCGGGCCTGGGCAGCACTGGGGCATGTCCGGTCACTGCCCGGCCTGCCACTGGCCAGATCGGACGGTACCGTAGTAGCGGCTAGTGCGGCACTCAGCACTCAAACGGTCACAGTAAGTTAAAAAGCCTGGCAGGTCACGGTCCTTTACTCTTGAAGTCACGGTAGTCCGATGATGTACTGAGTCAAAGTTGGAGGCCCTGAGGGGGGGGGGTAGAACCGGGGGGAGTGGGGGGCCGAAATTTAGACGTATGAGGTTGCTGATGCAGAAGGTTGGGGGAGATAGCTCGGTTGGGGAAGGCTGAGAGGACGGGGTAGTATTAAGTCATCGAAGGGGTGGGGGTGGTAGCATGTGAGGTCCCGGTTTTGAAAGACTCCCCGTTCCGACGATTTGAGGAAATCTGGCTAGCCTGGTAGGGGGTGGGTAGATTCAGAAGTCATGGGGTACAGAGGTGGCGATGGTGGGTCAGAATCGACGGAGGGACGAGCTTTTATGATTTGTGAAGGACTAATAAGGGCAAATTTGAGGACACTTGGGTGAAGAATTCCGTCCGATTTGCCAGTTGAATGGAGGCCCGGGTGGGGGTGATAGTGTTAGGGGGTACGGTGTTACCCACGACATTGATAGTAGGGTGGGGTGGTAGATTGACTGTGAGGCGCAACCCCCCGATGATGACAGTTTGTTGCGAAGTGGTCGTGAATGATCAATTATTGGTCGAGGGGGTGGGGCCCACGGTACATGATGGAGGGGTCAAGCTAAACATATTTGAATGGAAACGGGAGTATTGAGGGGTACTTCGTTTTTGAAGTAGGGGTCCTTTCGATTACAAGGGGGTGGGAATCTTGAAAGACTTTGTTCAGTAGGGGTGGGGACAATTGGGGTTTATTATGATCAGTCGGAACTCCTCCGAGACAAGGTTGTAAAGATCAATCTGACAGGGTGGGGGTTAATGTATAACCGGTACTTTGTCGTCAAATAGTGAGTCTAAAAAGGGGTGGGGCTGATTAGTCCACCCGTGACACTTCCCTCCCTTACACCAGGTTTACATGAACCCAATTAACGTTTTGCCGGCTACCAACTTCTCAACAGCATCCTCCACGCTCCCTCTTCCCTCACCTACCTTGATCCTCTTCATCGCTTGCCTTCGTACTTCACTCGCTGTACTTCACTCGCTTCCTCCTGCTGTGATCATCTTTCCCTCATTTCCGCCATCTGGAAGTCAACTCAATCTTGTGCTGCATCGTTCGGAACCTTGCTAGCACCAAAGTTGCTCTCTTGTCAAAAGTGGTGTACACACCTTCTTTGTTTCAGTGAACTACAAGTAAAAGCTCACCATAGAGCTAATCGTAGTGGAGTCATATTTCAAACTTGCGGTTTTGGAGCTGCAACAAATTTTCTCGCGTTGATTTTGTTTCAGACTTTGCATTACTGAGACAGCAAAGTGTTTACTTGCCAAGCGTAAAAGGCTCATCTCTCTACATCTCCAGTATCCAAATCTCTATGTTCATGTCTACATCATCGCGTACAGGTCGCTCAATCACGTTGGAAGACTTTCACTTTGAAAGGAGAGGTCATGTATCGAACAAGCCTTGCACTTGCTCAGACAACTTCTGTTTACAAAACGTCCTTGCTGCCAGGGATAAGAGAAAGAAGATCTCTACCGTTGTGTCAGGAATTGAACGTTCCTATCGTAATGCGCTCTGCATGCCAAAGGACTCATAGCCCGTAAACTCATGGAGTGATAGAAGATCATGTTATGAAATCTTTAACTTGTTATATCACTCTCTTTAAACCATAGAAATATCATAAAGTACAAGGCCGTGATGTTTTCGTCTTCAGCTCAGTATCAGAGATAATAATGGCGTCTGACAGCATCAGCTGCCCCCCCGCCTGCCAGTCGGATCCAGTCCGAGCGATGTTCACTCTACGGTAACCGAGCCTCCGATGCTCGCAGAAGAATTTCTTCATGAACGGCGGCGGCTGAAGGAACAGAGACCGAGTTTAAGAGCTCAGTAGTTGAGCAAGGCCGAAGCTGGTGGCTAGTGTGAGTGACTCAGGCTAGAGGCCCGGCCCCGGCCCCGGCGACT